GGATCTTGGGCCTCGATCTGGCCAGGAATTATGAGAGAAGTGACACAAAAGTTTCAGGATGAAAACGAGCACGTTGACCCTGTCATGGTGCATGGACACCTCTGCGTGGGCAGAGGAGTTGGAAACATCATCTCCGGACCCTTGAGCGGTTCTCTTATTCGAGGTCAACCATGGCAGGGAAAGGTTATTGGGGGTTATGGAAGTGGATATGGCATTCTGATTTTGTACACCGGCCTCACGGGCCTGGTGAGTGGTATGAGCTTTTTGTGGCGATACGTGAATGTTTTGTAAGGGATGGACATTTCTGAAAGCTGATTCTCCATCAGAGGAGAAGACATTAGCGGCGATATCAGGTTTCAAGCGTGTCACGCTAAAAAGTGATTTGCAAGGCAACCTAGTTATTATTCTAAGACACATACCAGACTTAATCATGAGGAAACAGTGCTTGTTATTGATCAGAAACTTGAGAGCTAAGAACTGACGAAGGAAGAGTAAAAGGTTGGAACGCTGTATTTTATGACGCTTCCTTTGTACTAAGTACAGACGTAACGAATTGACTGACTATCATGCCATGGTAACTTTCTCCGTGACGTTCATCCACCCAAGCGCTCTTCTTTTGATGTGATAGACTGTCTGAACTAGTAAGGGGGGTGCGGGTTAATCCCTCGGGCACTCAGCGCTCGTCCAGATAATACGCGATAGGAGTATGGGTTGATACAAGCTCCCGCCAACCTTGACCCGAACGATCCCCCCCAAAAGTCTAGAGGAGTTATAGAGTCTTTGTACGAGAGAGAATTCAGTTCAGTCTTCAGACTCATCATGATCAGAGCCCATATGGCCAAATTAGCTGTCAATATATTCCCCCCCTCTGTGCTGCATGGAATGGCCTTCTAGTACACCCCCATCCTCCCATCTTCGGTCTTGAAGAATTGCAGGACGACAATATCTTTGTCTCCCAAGATGAGCGAGAGACAAGTGTTGGTTTCTTTGGCACAGGCAGCCAGTCGTTCGATAGGACCAAGCTCGGGTTCTTTGTCGCGATTTGTGGTGACAAGGGAGTCTGGCTCCCATGTGCATGAGGGTACAACGATGACTGTAGCAAGAAAGGGATTGCGGATTTCTTCGTTTGCGTCGTATAAGACATGAACGCGATCCTCGTCGCCCAAATCGAACTGGTGAGCGCGCTTAGGGAGTTTCTCTTTCATTTCTCTCGCTTCAGCAAATGCCAGATACATATCTGTGCTGCGGAACCAGGAAAACCGGGGACTGATGCTGAGTTTGCCCAAGCTGATGGCCAAACTAATTGCGGTTTCTTTAAGGAACGCCTCGTAAAACATCTGTACCATCATGGAATGGTTCTCGCAGTCGAACTCTAGCACCTCATCCGGTCGGTTGCTCTTTGTGGCCTGTTCTAGAATATCGCCGTATGCATTCGTGATGTTTTCAAACGTGAATTTTGTCCATGGAAGAATCTCGGACTTCTTCATCAGAGATTTTTCACGACCATCGTAAACTAAGCTTTGAAAATTCGAGGGGAGATTGATGATGGGTCTTCTGTACACCAGGAGGGAGCCGATATTGGGGGCGTTCGGCGGCTGGTTCATGTTGGGTTTTGGAGCCTAAAGATCTGGTTTATGACGAGTAAGAACAATTGGAAATGGAATGATGATCTCTGAAAAGTTATAAGGCTGATGTTGGTTTCGTCAAGAGTGATGATGATGAAGAAGAGAAGAGGAGAGAGTCAAGAGTCAAAGAGATTTAGGTCACCCTGACTACCTGCCTGATGCCTAAAATACATCGCTCCTTACCCCTTCACATACCTCAAAAAGGAATATCTCAGTCCACCTCGACTTCCCTAAATAGGTAGGTGGCTTGTGTATGATTAGGGGTGCGATTTAGGATATTAAATTCTCTCAAGAGTATTATTTACGGCATGAAATAAACACCCCATAAGTCACTTAAACTAAAGAACGTATACCTATTCACGTCCCGTCGCAAGCTTGAGTCTAAACATATAGTACCCTGCTTTCTTATTCAAGTGGCCTGTCTAGTACAACTAGCAATTCTACAGCGATTCCTACTCCTTCGCTATCCAAATACCGGTGATAGTATGCTTTGAGAATTCCTATTCAATTGGTGTGACATATCCCCATCCTGTGTCGTAGGAATTTTCGAATCGATGTCCTTAAAAGAACAAGCCGATGATACCTCACTCTTCGTCAAAGACAGCAGAACCTTCCAGACATTAGGTAGATGTATTGTGCGGCAGAGAAGAATCGTCTGGCATCAATGTCCGCGATTATTCCTTGTGGCTGAGAGCTTAAATCAGTCGAGAGAACCTAAGTTTCCTTTCCTCCCCAGGTAGGTATTTATTGGCTTGCTGCTCATATCTGTATATATACACCAGCTTCATTATGACAACACACAAAAAGTCTGGGGTGGACCGTGGCGCTTTTCAAGTTGATTTGGTATGGACTGTTTCCTATCTCCCGAGGTCTTGACTCTTATCAAACCCCGCGCCGGGAATACTTGCCAACTCTATTTGCACCACCTGCCACATGACATGGACCCCTCACATTTCAATAATCCTCAGTGTCTTTTGCACTGACTCTCATATCTACGCTTGTTCATCGTCACCATCGAAACAAAAACATCATGGGCCTTATCTTGGTTACTGCTCTGGGCTTGCTGCCTGTTTTGCTGGTGTACAGATACATCATCTATCCTGCCTTTTTCTCCGCGCTGTCTCGCATACCCGCACCACACTGGACATGCCATATCAGCCCTCTCTGGATATTAGCAGCAAGGAAGCGGAGGCGAGAGAATACATTGCTGTATCATGCACACCAAAGGCTTGGTCCAGTGATTAGAATTGGTCCAGGTGAAGTGAGCGTTGACGGTTTAGAAGGCATGCGGACCATATATCAAGGGGGTTTTGAGAAAGGTCACTGGTATAGCGTCTTTGATAATTATGGGTAAGAATGGCAACTTATCGTACTGGACTGTCGGCGATGAAACTAACATGGCCGTCTGTAGAGTCCCAAATATGTTTGCCACGGGCAATTCAAAGCCTCACTCTCTAAGAAAGAGGATGATTTCGAACGTCTACTCCAAATCGTATATACAATCATCTCAAGCGAGCAAATTGCAAATGACCGAGATTCTCGTCAACCGCCTCTTGCCCGCACTTGACGGGTCTCTTAAATCTTCCCCCGAGTCGATATCTACAGACTACAATGATGTTGAAGTGTTCGGTCTATATCTAGCAACGGCCATGGATCTTATCACTGCCTACATATTTGGTCTCTCTAACGCTACAAACTTCATTGCCGACGAGCCTTATCGCCGTGACTGGCAGGACATGTATCTTGCACGGGCCAACTACCCTTTCTGGACGCAGGAAGTTCCAAAGCTGACAAACTTTTGCAAAAGATGGATTCCTTGGCTCAAGCTCTATCCACAGTGGGTTGATCAGTCCAACAAGAAACTCTCAGATTGGAACTGGGAACTCTGCGAGAATGTCCGGAGGGCGTCCAGGGTGACAAGAAACCCCAGTAACAGCCAAGACATTCAACGCTCGGACGAGCCGGTAGTCTACAACTCACTGCTTGCTGGGATAGATCGCGAGTTCAATACCAATGGAGAAAAGAGCATTCTATACAGCACGAGCATTCTTCAACGAGATCGAGCCATTGCGTCTGAGGTTATGGATCATTCGCTGGCTGGACAGGAGACGGCTGGAATTGCCCTCACTTATGCAACATGGCATATTTCAAAATCTCCAGAACTTCAACGACAGCTTCATGCTGAGGTCCAATCTCTTAAACCGGCTTTGATGATTGACCCGAAAGCTGCGTCTGGTATCATGAACACGTTGGCTTTGCCAGATCCCAAGGAAGTCGATTCCTTACCACTCTTACACGCTATTGTCACGGAGACGCTGCGCCTCCACGCACCTATTCCAGGACCTCAACCACGCCAGACACCTGAAAGAGGATGTAGCATAGGAGGGTATTATATCCCCAGCGAAGTAAGGATCGCATCACTGGCGTATACATTACACCGGGACAAAGAAGTATTTCCCGAACCTGAGGAGTGGATCCCAGAGCGTTGGATACCACAAGCGCCTGGAAAATCATCAGACGATGAGGCGAAGCGTCGCGAGATGCAAAGACTTTTCTGGGCCTTCGGCAGTGGTGGAAGGATGTGTGTCGGCTCCAACTTCGCCATGAATGAGATGAAATTTATTTTGGCGTTCATCTATGCCAACTTTGAGACATCCATTGTTGATGATGAAGGTATCGAGCAGGAAGATGCTTACACGGCGAGACCAATTGGCGAGAAGCTGGTCATCAGGTTCACTCCTTTAAAGACATGAGACTGAAGACGAATTTGGATAATCAGTTTTATCTTGCTACATATATATTCATAGATATGGACCTTTTCTCTTTTCTCTTCAATGAATCACCCCACTCTAAGCTTGAGAACCACCTGAACAGTCCCTAAGGTTGTTGAAAGCAGAGGATATCATTAATTAGGCTTGATGCTTGACATTTACGATGACTTCATATTATCGAGGGTTGGCCTTTTGAGGTTTTAAGCAACATTAAGCGCTGTTTCTTGACTTTCAGGACCAGCATGCAGCTTAGCTACATACACGCAAGGATGGGATTTACAGAAAAACAATTGAGTTAACTTGAATTGCACTCGGATTTCGTACGTCTCTCCCTCTGTGTAACCTTATAACCTTATGTCTCAGAACTCACCTTAATTTCACCAAAATAGGAATGGATTTTCAACAATCGTTGTTAAAAGATTCCACCAATCGCTGCATCACCGTAATTTTACCAACAAGGCAATTCCCCCTTCGTGACTCGAATGCTGTCATTGGAGGATATATGAAACCCCATGTAAGTTCTACTAGGGGCCGTCGTACATAAAGGATGATAGACCCGATGCTCTCAAAGCACGTCAACTCAAGATTCTTATACTCAAGAAACATGAAAATTTCCTTGCTGCTAGCTTTGACGGCCAGTTCCGTGGCGCAAGCAGCCCAGCTTGCATTTCCTGGAGCTGAGGGCTTTGGAAGGTATGCAGTTGGCGGTCGTCAAGGGGAAGTATACAAAGTAACAAACCTCAAGTAAGCCGAAGTCTCCTTTCCTGTTCATATGAAATGTCTAATGAAAATCGAATAGTGATTCTGGAACTGGCTCGCTTCGAGATGCAGTATCGAAGCCCAACAGGATAGTTGTCTTCGACGTCGGTGGAGTTATCAAGATATCCGAACGTATCGTCGTGTCTAAGAACATTTATATCGCCGGCCAAACTGCTCCTGGTGGTGTGAGTCTCTAGAACCTTCGATATTACACTAGCTGAACCACCTACAGGGGATCGTCGTCTACGGCAATGGCTGGTCTCTCTCCAACGCCAATGACTCTATCGTGCGATACATCACCATTCGTATGGGCAAAGGTGGAACCTCAGGTAAAGACGCAATCGGTATTGCTGACGGTAAAAACATTATCTTTGATCACGTCAGCGTCTCGTGGGGACGTGATGAGACTTTCTCTATCAATGGAGACGTCACGAATGTTACCATCCAGAAAACTATCATTGCTCAGGGTCTTGTTTCTCACTCTTGTGGTGGCTTGATGCAGACTGATGGCGGAGTCAGCTTATTCCGCAATCTGTATATTGATAACAAGACTCGTAACCCCAAGGTCAAGGGTGTTAACGACTTCCAGAACAATGTGAGTGATTCTTGTGGTATTTCCGGATGTGTTTCTTACTGTCGTGTAGGTCGTGTATAACTGGGGAGGTGGTGGCGGTTACATTGCTGGAGATAGTCAAGCTGACAGCTATGTTAACATCATCAACAACTATTTCATTTCTGGTCCAGACACTACAGTCACAGCCTTTACTCGAGGAAACAGTTGCTTCCATGCTTGTAAGTCATTTTACCTCTCAGATAATTATGTTGTTGACCATGTTTCAGACGTCAAGGATAACTTCTACGACTCCAACCGCAACGGCAAGCTTGATGGCACTGCTCTTTGCGAGAAAACCAGTTGCTACTCTGACATTGATTTTATCAAGACTCCATACAACTATCCGGCTCCCACAGCCCTCTCCCCCCAGGCAGCCGTCGAACTAGTCCTCAAAGGCGTTGGAAATTCACTGCATAGGGATACTGTTGATACTGCCCTTATTGATCAGGTCAAATCTTACGGAACCAAGGGAGGGCAAATCTCTGATGAGAAGGAGTTTGGTGGTGTTGGAGAGATTGCAAATGGTGCCGCTCTGAAAGATTCAGATGGTGATGGCATTCCTGATGAATGGGAAACAAAGAATGGTCTTAATCCCAATGACGCTTCAGATGGTATGAAGGTTGCATCAAATGGGTATGCTAACTTGGAGAACTATGTGAACTCTCTTGTTTAATTACATTTCCTTCTGATTTCATAACTCATAAGAAATTCCTAAGTAGCTCTTCTTGATTCCATTAACATTCAATGTGGCCAATGTGAGATACATACACTCGGGTTCCTAGTTATAACATCACTTAACTTATCTTCACGTCGTTCCCAGCGTGACTGAGTTCTGAATTTTGGTTCAAATGCGGAGTTATTCGGTCTTGTCTTTCAAGGTTGTCATCCAAGGAATCAAGCACACCTTTGAATCCCGACAGGCTTTCCTGTATAATTGAATCATCATATAGAGTCTGGCGCCATATGGAGAAATATTGTTGGTGCGTTTATTGTTTATCCATGCGTTTCGTTTCGCGGCGATCGTCAATGCAAGTTCTTGTTTCAACATCCCGGAGGTCCCGGTAAGGTTTCATTACTCCTGTTTCACGGACATTAAAAGGGCTGCAATACAGCAGATCATCCAGTATTTAAAGACATGCTTAAGTTCTGATCCTCCGGTTCTCAGCAGTTCCGCTCCCATCTGCTAAGAAAATGCATTTCAAAAATCTTATCATTGCGCTGTACGGCGTAGGAGCATCATGTTCTGCTCTGCGACCACCAATTGAAAGGCGCGCGACAACAGAAATTCCTTCAGACTCGTTCAACTCTCTCGAGACATACTGGAATTACCTGTATCCTTGGGGAGCCACACACAATGGCGGCGCCCGAATGGACAAGGAACACGTCTCCGTCGCTGATGGTGTTCTCACTCTGACTGCTGAGCCACGAGATGATCAAGAAGATCCCATCCATTATCTCTCTGGAGCAATTCACGCCAAATCAACATTCACTGTTTCTGCTGGTGGTGGTTATGATATCAGTGCTGAGTTCATTGCTCCAGTTGATAGAGGAACCTGGCCTGCTTTCTGGCTCAATGCTGCGAGTGGATGGCCGCCCGAGATTGATATTGCAGAGTGGAAAGGCTCTGGAAAGATTTCTTTCAACACATTCAATACCTCTAATGAGGTAACTGCACTTGATAGGGACTATCCTAATCCCGAGGAATGGCACTCTGTTCGTGCTGAACTGCGTGATGAGAACGGTCATGATGTGAGAGTCAAGTTCTTCCTCGATGGTGTTGAGCAGACTACGCAATATGGTCGTGACTACATCGGGGCGGGTTTGCGTCTGTAAGTATATTCTTTGTAAAATATCGAGACTCACCCTATCTAATAGCTATTTAGGATCGTCAACTATCAGACTGAAGGATCTTCTGGATCACCTGGTCCCACAACACGTAAGTTTCTTGTCAGTTTGATGCGTCTCTCTGTACTGAACCCTGTGTAATAGCGACAACTTTTCAAGTTCGAAATGTTGAGGTCATCAGTCTCAACTAGGTTTTTCCCCTTTGATTGAGCAATGTGGCTAGTGATGCGAAGGTTATTTATCTTGATTCAGTGTATCCGAGGATATGTGACTATACGAATGAGGGGGGGGCAACGTCTGTCAGTAAAGGCTCGAGCTTATTCGGAAACTTGCAGAATGATCCGCCGGCAATGTAACCCGTCAACCGATCAAACCCCTCAAAGGAGCAGAATGCATGAAACAAATCAAGAAGCTACTGCAAGGTGACAGTTCACCTGATGTCTATGTCCTTGAATCATGGCCAGTTAAGCGTGGTTCGATTCCACCGTCTCGGGTCAAGATCTACCGAGTTGCATCTCTGCATTGCGTATTCTGATGTGAGGAACTTTTGATTTGCTCGGGCTGAGGATGGCTTTGCCAAGGTAAATTAGCCTGAGTTGGTGAGTGCCGCAGTCGTGCATTGAGTGAATGGGTGTAAGCCCTGACTGCCATGTCTAGGTGCAACCCAACCACCTCATCCTTGTGCCTCAAAGCGTGGGGAGCTTGTGGCTGCTAAGAGACGGTTCAAGTCGGTTCTAACCGTGTAAATGGTTAAATGGGAAGACAAAAGTGATGAGGAGGCATTGCTGAGGAGGTGGAAAAGTGGCTGCTTACTACCTAGCGGCCGTCGGAAAATAGGGAATACCAAGGAAGAGAGAAGGCAAAAACTGAGACTGCTACAAACCCCCAACCACATTTGGGGGAGGATTGTCAAATTTGGATCGCTTCCAGAAGATAAGCCTCGTGATCGTGGTACCTTAATTGAAGGCATATAGGTCAAGCTTAAGACAAGACGAATCGCATATAAGCGCGTATAAGTGGGTGTCGTAGCATTGGGAATTTCTTCACGAATCACGCGATGCCTGTGATCGTCCAGGTGTGGTACAGTAGCAGCCGGGGAAGCCCTGTTCCTGGCTGTCAGCCATCTTGCGATGCAGACGAAGCTTCAACTTATTTCTGAAGGATTGCTCGAGTCATATTTATCCGGATTAAACTATAATAAATGACAGAAGTGACGTTTGAACCGGCGTTTTTGGCGTATTCCTGTCTAAAAACATCGGCCGACGTACAGAGAAGCAGGGTTCTAGACCGTGGCATCTGATGATCACCACCATCCCCCAGAAACTACCCCGGATTCCCCACCTCTCTGGGAGGAACAAGCTGGGGAGGAGAAAGGCATTTTAGTGGCCAAGCTATTATCCGGTCCACTAACGATCGATATTGACCACTCCATCCCTCATCACCAACTTCTTTCCCCGCAGGATCTTCCACCAATGGCGGGAAAGTTCAACTACGAGATAGCTTCACTTACACGGGCCGTCGATCCTATTTTTACGGCGATGTGAACCGGTTCCCGGCCTCGAGGATCATCTCTGCATGAGGAGAACCGTTGGAGATGGACGATATAACATGCCCGTGTCCAGTGAAGGGTATCATGAGCCTCTCAAACCTCATTGCAAGTAGTCTGCTGCTGGTAAGCGACGAATCTGTTCACCATGGTAGCCGAAAAGCACTCCGGGGAGATTCAGCCCCATGTTGAGAGCACCGACGCTGGTCTTGATCATCTCAAGAATGTAGACCTTCACGACAAAGCCCTCGCCAACGAGGCTCTTGAGGCCACGGCCGATGAGCATAGCTTTACTGTTTGGCAGGGCTTCAAGACTTACAAACGCGCTGCTTTTTGGTCCATCCGTAAGTTCTTACCATTGAACTGTTGACGCCGAGATAGCTAACGCGCCACTGCCAGTCATCTCGACTACTGTCATCATGGAGGGCTACGATGTTACCCTCCTCGGTTCCTTCTACGGCTACCCACGATTCCGAGAGAAGTACGGCGAATATCTCGATGAGAAGAACGGACATCAGATCTCAGCCAATTGGCAGCAGCGTTTCAATTGTCTCGGCGCCCTCGCCAACATCATCGGTGCTCTTCTGAATGGTTGGGCTACTTCGCGATGGGGACACCGCAAGGTTCTCATCAGTGGTCTCTTCTGGCTCTCAGCCTTCATCTTTGTCGTCTTCTTCGCCCCTAACATCGAGGTCCTTCTCGTCGGTCAATTCCTCTGCAACATTCCTTGGGGAATCTTCGCTACAACTGGTCCAGCCTACGCTGCTGAGGTCACCCCACTTGCTATTCGAGGATATCTCACTGCCTATGTCAACCTGTGCTGGTGTATTGGACAGTTCATCTCAGCTGGTGTACTAAAAGGTCTCGTTGACAATCCTACTCCGTGGAGCTACCGAATTCCCTTTGCGATCCAATGGGTGTGGCCTATTCCTCTCGCCATCGCAGCGTACATGGCCCCCGAGTCGCCCTGGCATCTTGTCCGAACGAACCAGCTCGAGAAGGCCAAAGTATCCCTCGAGCGACTGTCCGAACCGGAACACAACATCAACTACGAGAATGCCGTTGCTCTTATGGTCCACACAAACAAGCTTGAGATTGAGGAGCGTTCTGGAACTTCTTACTGGGACTGCTTCCGAGGTAGTAACCTTCGACGAACCGAGATCGCTTGCATGGGTTTCCTCTCACAGATCACCAACGGCGGTGCCCTTTGCTACAGTGGATCTTTCTTCTTCCAACAGACTGGTATTGGTCCCTCTGCCTCTTACGGTATTGCTCTTGGCGGAACTGGCATTGCCTTTATTGGTACCATCATCTCGTGGTTCTACATCTACAAGTTCGGTCGACGAACAATCTGGCTCTCTGGCTTCTCATTCCTTGTCGTGCTTCTCTGGCTTATCGGCTTCCTGGCGCTGCCCAAGCAGACTCTGTCCTTGGCTTGGGCGCAATCGATCCTCTGCGTTGTGTGGTTGGGAGCATACTCCATGTCTGTCGGTCCCATCATCTACACCATCGTTGCTGAGGTTGGTTCGACTCGTCTGCGTACACAGACAATTGTGTTGGCTCGTTCGACATACTACGTTGGTAACATCATTTGCGGAGGTCTCATCCAGCCCGAGATGTTGTCTCCAGGATCATGGAACCTCAAGGGCAAAACGGTAGGTCCAGCCAATCGATACGAGCGTCAATGCAACGCTAACATGCTACAGGCCTTCTTCTGGGCCGGTCTTGCCACTCTCACTCTAACTTGGGGCTATTTCCGTATGTTCGAAACAAAGGACCGTACCTTTGGTGAAATGGACTACATGGTAAGTAGCTGAATACGAGGACCGAGAACGCAGCTAACGAATTCGGATAGTTCCAGAAGGGTATCCCGGCACGCAAGTCTGCCAAGTACCAGATTAATGAGGACGAGGTCTTTATGGCTCACGAGAAGCCTGAAGCTGAGAAGCACTAAATTGAGTGCTGAGGTTGCAATCGGGAGGCCTCATGTGACGTGACGGTCTGTGAATGGAGCCATGTCATGACTTAGCGATACCTTTTGCTTGATCAACAATTATTATATGTATTACGGAGTATTGTCCTCGATGATGATAACCATTGGATAGGCGTGGCTGAAACTATGCTGGACTAAAGCCCAACCGAAGTCATGGCGGAATGTCTTGGTGAGACATTAGATCCAGGATCAGCGCCTAATCTTAACAACACGTGACAAGACGGTGAATGTTTGGGCAGCATATCGATCAGCATCAACAGAGCAAATACGTGTACAGTACGGATTATCTGTTAGGGATGATGGGCAGTGTCAGATGTTGAAGGGATTGCTCAATTGAGCCTCTTTCATCTGTAGCCATCCCAATTCAGGAACGGATCGATCGGCCTCAAAGCCGTGCCAGCCAAGCCCAAGTATCGTATTCTCCACTTCAAGGGGGAGTTTTTAACCCACCATCGTCACCCGCAACCTCAGCTAATTTAGCGCTCGAAGTGCCAAGGAATTCGCTCGCCACGACAAAGAATTGCTTCTCACATCAAAGAGAGAGGTCTGGAGTTGAAGTCCAAGAACATCAAAACAAAGAAACTGGGGGATCCAGGCGGTGAAATACAGCTGGCCGCATTCTATGTATATATCTCAAACACCAAATTAAATCCCACGCTTGGCTTCGTATACAGAGATTGGCTACCAAGGAACTCAATCCCAAGTACCTACCAGTATCTTGAGTGCATTGGAGATTGGCTCAAGGATAAACTTTGATGCACTGGATTTGTTTTAGCTTCCATCCGGTCTCAAGAATTGGTTGCATTGTTCCTTGCATAAGTCACGCCACTACGAATCAGATTGGATTCTCCGAGATAAGGGCACACCGTTGGAACTCTGTCTCGAGCTGCGGAAGAGGCTTGACAGATAAACGATGCGGTATATAGCATCAAATCTCGCAATACGAAAAACGAGAGCCATGATGTTCATTTCTCATGAATGGCAACATTCATCTCGATTGTTTTATCGACGATCACGCATTGCAAAATTGCTTCTTGGGTACGAAACAGGAGAAGCTGGGGTTGACGTCCAATGAGCACCCACCTCCAAGAAATGCCCTTCTATTCTTAGCGGCCTACGGCACGTTAACCATAACCTAGTGGACCAGCGTCGTAAGCATTTCCCCTGAAAAACCGGGAACTTAGTGCCTGTCCGGCACGTGACGGCTCCACGTCCGCTGCAACCGCCCCCGACCTAATCTCACCGCGTTCCGAAAGCAAAACAAAGCGCCTTTCCTCATTCTTTGATCAACTTACCATCTTTTTTCCCATCCGTCCATCATTTCCTTTTTGTTGTCTGGATTCTCTTTTTGGATTCGGCATTCTTACTTCCTCGTCACTCTCTTTTAACTGCCAGAACGGCTTCTTTCTTGATTACCATTTCCGAATAATCACACTCACGCTCTTTTAATAGAATTAGCTTCCGGCTGGTGTGACCTTGCTCGACGTTATACCAATCTGCTTACACCACATATCGATCACTTACCCGGAAATCGATAATCTATATTCGCCAACATGAAGGTTTCCGCTACCCTCGCTGCTGGTGCCCTCGCCCTCGGCGTTGAGGCCAAGAACTACCTCGGTTTCAACTCTGGTGCCACCCTCGCCAACCGTGCCGCCAAGTTCAAGGCCGATTTCCAGGCTGAGTTCGAGACTGCTCAGAACTTGAAGAGCGCTCCCGGTGACTTCAGCGCCGTCCGACTCTACACCAACATCCAGGCCTACTCCGAGGATGACCCCATTGAGGCTTTCGAGGCTGCCATCGACACCAAGACCGAGATCCTCCTCGGTGTCTGGACTTCCGGCACTGACAACATCGACAAGGAGATCAGCGCCCTCAAGAAGGCTGTCGACAAGTACGGCTCCAAGCTGACCGACCTCGTCATCGGAGTCTCTGTTGGTAGCGAGGATCTCTACCGTAACTCCGTTACTGGCGTGAAGAACAAGGGTGGTGTCGGTGTTGAGCCCGATGTCCTCGTTGACTTCATCAACGACTTCAAGAAGGCTTTCAAGGGCACCCCCATTGGCAAGATCCCCGTCGGCCACGTCGACACCTGGGACGTCTGGGGCAACGCTACCAACAAGGCCGTCCTCGACGCCATCGATTTCATCGGTGTGGATGAGTACCCCTACTATGAGAACGACAAGGGCAACAGCATCGACAACGCTGCCAAGCTCTTCAACAAGGCGTACGAGGCCACCATCGCCGCCTCCAATGGCAAGCCTGTCTGGGTCACTGAGACTGGCTGGCCCTACAAGGGTCCTGACTGGGATGAGGCTGTTCCTAGTGTGAAGAACGCTCAGAAGTACTGGCGCGACGTTGGCTGCAAGTACCTCTTCAACAAGACCCCCACTTTCTGGTACACTCTCCGCGACTCCAACCCCGACAACAAGATGAAGTTCGCCATCACTGATAACCTCTCCACCACTCCTCTCTTCGATCTCTCTTGCGACAAGGTTGACGACGATGAGGAGACCACCAGCTCTGCCGTCCACTCCAAGACCAAGACCGAGTCCGGTGCTTCCACGGCCACTCATGCTTCTAACTCCACCGCTACCTTCGTCACCTCTACTGCCTCTGCTACTAGCGGCTCCGGCGATGATGAGGAATCTACTGGTACTGCCACCGCTACTGGCTCCGGTTCTAAGCCTACCTCTGGCTCTGGCTCCGGTTCTGGTTCTGGTTCTGGTTCTGAGGGTTCTGGATCCAGCTCTGGCTCCGGTTCTGAGTCTGGTTCCGGCTCCGGCTCCAGCTCCGAGTCTGGCTCTGCCCCTGCTGAGACTCCCAGCACCATCACCAACGGTGCTGCTTCCCTCGGCGCCTCCACTGCCGCCCTTGCCTTCCTTGCCCTGTTCGCTCTGTAAATATCCTGAATGGATCGTGGGTTGAATGACGCCCATTGCGTGTCTTGACTTTTTTCTCGCGCCCGAGATCTGTTTCTTGTATTAGTTGTGGGTAGATTAGGATAGACAATGGTTGACTCTATTTTCTTCTAACTCTTGCCAAACTCTTGTGCTACATTCATTGTTCGCTTTACTGACAACCGTTTACAATGGCTTTCATGCTAAACCTTAGTTAGACCCACAATTCTAATTGGCTTTGCTTGAGTGGGGCCGGGTTTTCCATCCCAACTCAGCTGTGATATAACACCAAGTCGAGCAACAACACAAAAAGGACAAAACCGCAGACATAGAGAACAGGGAGAGCAAAAGAAAAGGGTCTGGCCGGGGATTGAACCCGGGACCTCTCGCAAGCCATGCTGTAGGGTTTTCCCTAAGCGAGAATCATACCACTAGACCACCAGACCGAGTTTGTCTACAACAGTGTTGAATCAATCACGTGATTGTCCCGTGCATTGTGCTTCTATGTCCACGCACTTCACTGCTTAATGATTGGTGGCCTCTAGGGTGGGTGATGTTGATTTACAAGAACCTCTGTAAGGCCTGTCCTGTAGCCTTGAGTCGGTGCAGTGCATGTTCTTGTATGATCAATGGTATGTCTAGATTAGTACATCCCAATTCAACTGCTGTTTATCCATCCACGTATTTGCGGAACATTGGCCGCAAATTGTTGGATTATTTGAGTTAAGTTACTGTATAACCACATCCGGTGGTTTATCACCATCGTTTCATTCGCCCGACAGCCTCTTGCTATGCATACTATGAAGCAGTTATACTCATGGAGAAGTACCCGCGATTACCAGTGAACATGTGGTACTGGCGATCGTAGCACAACCGCAGAACTGACTGATCTTCATGTTGGTCGGGGTATTTATAGCCAAGTATTGAGACACAAACATTTGGGGAACGAGAACGACTGAAAGGTTCCATAAAGGCGGATTAATGAATTCGAAGCTTACTCCTTGAGTTCAGCCTGCGATCAATTTCCTTTCCGTTTACCGATTCACGGTCATGTCTCTCAATGAATTGCCAGTGTCGTGACGTACGTACCTTGGAGGACGATCCATCAGTTGAGGACGGAGATTGGATGCTTTGCCTTGATGAACAATGTTTCCCGACAGAATCCATGTTGGAAAGAGACTTCTCTTGACTGCCAGTCCCAAGCGAGAAAAGGCCTGATAATCCTCATGGGCATCTTTCGCTACCTCTTTCCTGCATCTGAGGAGTTCCCCGTAGCAGTGATCAACACTTCTAGGTACGTAGGCAAGTGCGAGGCAAGGTGCGACTGCCATCTGATGAAGCACCCAACATCTCCGTTCCAACTCAAGGCAATTCCTTGTGACGCTTTCTTCGCCGTTACAGCTTTTACAAATACCTTACTCTTTGGCGACCCTTGAATAAAACACGCACCTTAAACTCTGCGTCTTAGCACTCTCCATCTCCTCCTCTTGACTTTAAGGTGGTTCAACAACGTCATCTTGATTCATCATTGTTACCTTAGTAGCGACAATGGCGCTGCCTCAGAACCCTCAGCCTCCTTTAATCGTGGAACCTCCAATTCCAGCCGGGCTGACGCTGCATCAGATCGGCATCTTCCCAGCTTATATCACCAGTCGGACAGAGACTCTCATCGTCAAAGAAAAGGGACTGTCTTTCAGCGGCGATGACTTTGAGGTTTGCCATGCCAACGGTTTCCCTATTCTCAAGGTAGATGGCGTGGTGATGAGCTTGTCTGGACGCAAGAGGGTCTATGACATGAGAGAGAACCATCTCTTTTCCATCGTCAAGGAGCATTTCCATATCCATACTACGTATGGTGTGGAAGACCCTCAAGGAGCGAGAATCATGACTGTGAGGAACTGCCTGCAGCGTGAGTCTTCCCCATGATAGTCTCGGCATCTATCTCTGATATATTTTAGTTTTTGGTTCCAGAGCTACAGCGACCTTCAATTCGATCGATGGGTCAGCAGAGATTCTTAAGATGAAAGGAAACTGGCTCGACCGTAGTGCTGACATCGTTGACACGGTTACGGACACCGTAGTCGCTCATATCGACCGCAAATTTAGCGCCCGGGATTTCCTAATTGGCAAACAAGCATATGTCCTCAAAGTTTCGCCCGGTGTTGACATGGCTCTCATGGTAGCAATGTGCATCTGCTTTGATGAGAAAAACAACGAGAACAGAGGCCGTTGATGAAGGAAAGGGCTTGCTTAACGATATTTGTAATACCTAGAGGACTGCACGATGGATCGAATGAGTGATGCTCCGGATTGAATGCGACCTGTATCGAGAGTCAGAACTGCTAGACTTAGCCATTATATCCTAGGATGTGGAAATGAAATTGAACGATTGTTTTGCTGGTCATGCTCAAAGGTTCAGCATAGTGGTAGAGCCTGAGTCCACACGCGCCTGAGCATTCACGAGAGTACGTGAGAAGGAGACATCTATGAAGAGTAAGCAAAGACTAATAATGTTCCGTCAACGAATCAAGTCTAACTCATACCATTTACCCAGCAGACCCTCATCTCACCAGACAACACAACATAACCCTTGTAAACCTCATAGTCCAGATAATTAAATAAGAAAAACAACAAGCTTTCTGATAAATGCTTATTTCCCAAGGTTGCAAAAGCTTGACCGCAACAAGCTCGTCAACCCGGCAATGTCTGTGCCGGGTTGTTCTTCTCACCGTTGCATCACAGCATGGTGAGAATTTGAACAGCGTCCAGTGAGCGCCCGCTGGGGAGAAAAAAAACAACTCAAACCGTATAATACTTTTACGGTTTCATTGCCAAGAATTTGTCGAGGGGGCTGTGCAATGTACGCTCCGCCATTGTCGTGTAATGCCAAGCGTGGAGATGGACAACTCATCCATTTTGACCTCGGAAATTCGTTCTTTGTCCTTCGTTCAACTGTTGTACTGTATTGCAGGTGGACTCGAAATACTCGCTGTTGAGACCGTAACACCTTTTTGGCAATATGAGATTCATCTCAAAGCGATTTTACTATATGAATAATAATTCCTACCTTATACTAAATATAATACTGATGTTTGGTTGCTGCTCGAGAGACTCTGTGTTAATACTACACAGCAAAAAGAGGCCCTGGAGTGGAGGGTCTGTAGTTCTTGGCCCAGTGCCGATAAGCGGAGGCGGCTTCTACTTAAAGCAATAGCGTGCAATTGCTGCATCTTTAACGTGGTCCAACATGCCCGTGCATATGCCTGCGAAATGCAAGACATTACCTTAGTACCTAGGTAGGTAGGTTGGCATTCAACGCACATGCGTGGGAACAATACTGGTAAACCCTCACAAAAGAAAAGGCGCTGCATATCAGGCAGTACGAAATGCGGTCAGGTATTGTACTGTGTACTAAGGTATTAACAAGTGAGACAAATCCATCAACCTTCTTCCTTGCCCTTACGGCCCGAAAGCAATGCTGGTACAGTGAGACGTAAAAAAATGTCGTTATTCATAGCTCGTTTTTCACCATTTAGTCCTCATAGACCTCCTCGTACTCTTCTTCGTACTCCTCACGAGCCTCCTCGAGTCTCTCGTGATCACTGCTGCTGGCATCTGAGTCATTAGCTTCTGCCAGAGCTTCTTCATACTCTTCACGGGCCTCTTGAACATCTTCTCGGTCGCTTGATGAGACGGAGTTACCATCAGCATCCGTAGGAGGAAGAACACCAGGAGGACCATCTTGCGCATAAGGGTCAGCGGCATAGGGGTCCTCGGGAGGAGCTCCATAGTAGTTGTTGACAACCTGGGGAGCAGGAGCAGCAGCAGGAGCAGCAGCAGCGGCGGCGGAGTGCTCATGATCGCTGTCACTGTCGTTGAGCTCGTTTGCGATCAAGGCACCGCCAACAGCACCAATGGCGAGACCACCTGCGGCACCGAGGAGCATTCCAGAGCTCCCGCTCTTCTTCTTCTCGCCTTGACCGTAGGGGTTGTTGCCGCGATCACCGTCAGTGGGAGCACCGTATTGACCGGGGGCTCCGTAAGGAGAGGGAGCGCCATAGGGAGAAGGGGCACCATAAGGAGACGGGGCGCCATAGCCTGGAGCAGGAGATCCATAACCACCTGGAGCAGGAGATCCGTAGCCACCCTGACCAGGGGGAGGAGAAGCGTAGCCGCCATAGCCAGGAGCACCACCGTAGCCTCCAGGAGCTGGAGAACCATATCCACCAGGAGCACCAGGGTAACCACGAGATCCGTCAGAGGGTTGAGACTCATACGGAGGACGAGAATCCGGGGGAGGAGGGGGGGGTGCCTGACCAGGAGCCTCCCACTGAGTGCGACCAGTGGCTGTCTCAACATAGTACCATCGCTGCTGGTTCTGGTCGAACTGAGCAGTCCAACCTTGGGGCAGGGGAGGGCGGTCGGACGGGGGCTGATAGGCGGGTTGAGGAGGAGGAGCACCGTATTGTTGCTGGGGAGCAGGTGAACCGTACTGCTGGGGAGGGGCTCCGTACTGCTGAGGGGGAGGGGCTCCGTATTGTTGAGGAGGAGGAGAGCTGTATTGCTGAGGAGGAGGAGCGCCGTACTGTTGGCCGCCGTCACCGTAGGCTCGGTTGTCTGGGGGTTGAAGAGTTAGCACATGCTCTGAGAAAATGTTCCTGCGGTAAGAACGTACTATCCTGGCCCTGAGGATAGCCTTGCTGAGACTCCTGCTTCTTCTCGTCCTTGTCGCCGATACCAAGGTTCTCAAACTCCTTGGCGATCTTCTTGAAGAAAGACATGATGGGTGACTTCGGACTAAGGCGTGCGAAGTCGGCGTTTGGAGAATCAAGGGTTGTGAGGGAAAGAAGAAAAGAGGTGAGGTAGATGAGAAGAGAGGGATTAAAAAAGAGTGACTGGGCTCTGTTTATATAATGGCGAAAGGCCTGAGGCGTGAGGTGTGAGGTGTGAAGAAAGAGTAAGGGCCTATTCAGGTGTGACCCGCGCAGTTATCGACAGTCGGCAGAGATGCTTGGCAGCTGCCGACAGTGCATGGATGGATGGTGGGGTGAAACGGAGGGGTCTCACTGAGTCACTGCTAAAAAGGGAAGTATCTCGGTGAATATGGACCACTGCGTGAAAATGGCACTCTTGCAATTACTGTACCTGGAGGTTGGTAGGGCAGAGAGTGATCCAGGTACGGGGGAGACACGGGTATGATGCTATCGCGCTGCGTGAAAGGCACAAAGGGCATTCAGAGCCGCCGCACAGGCCCGTTTAAAGCCCGTTTACCCCTCCATTCAACACCCAACCTCAAGCTTTCGGGGGCCAACCAGTGAAAGTGCTACGACGTGGCCAATCAGTGGACCTACAGTGACCCCTGCGGGCCGTTCCGGCGGGGCAACGCTCTGGTGCCAAATGTCACCAGCTCTACGGAGTAAGCTTTGGTACTTTCTTTTTACGAAAGCAAGCTTCGTTCACGTTTGGCTTTAACAAACCTCGTTTTGTCAACGTATCGGATAGGCTGGGGCATGATGTTTAAGACTGCCAAGCGAAATGATCGATAACAAACTCCATGCTGACATTGTTCAATTGCGACATAAAAGGCACGGAGAAATGCCCCCACATGATTGATAGTGGCGTGGAGTCAACTGAAGCAGTATCCAACTTATCCCTCGTCTGGCTTGACGGACACATATAATCGCCTCGAATTCACATAACATGGAGCCAAACAACCTACCTACTAACCTACTTACTTTGAGAGCTTGTATTCTTTACCTGTACTCCGTAAACTACAGCGTCCGCACATTCTCATCGGTTAAGTTAGAGCAGCTGGGGGTATTTGACATGAAGGAATATGGGGTATGCTGTTTCAACACCAATGTGGCGGAGCAAAGCTGCAAGCAGTCATGATATGCTGCCTGTATCCTACAGGACAGCACTGATATCAAACAATAAGCAAATATCCATTCACCAAACGGTCAATGTAATACTGCGTCACCATCACAACAGGCAAGAGGCCGCCCATGATTCTTATCGTGAAAGCAATAACACCCGGTGGCTGATGATGGATCCTCTCTTGTCCCCGGAATCATGAGGGGTTTCATGTCGTCTCACAATCTTATTCCCTTGTGACATCCATGAATGATTCACTGGCTCGTCCTCGACGCATCCATGTCTGATGCTGCGGTGAGGGGGAGGGGCTCTTGCAGCGCCAAGGCAATCCAGGTCCCTTGGCGTTCCATCCGCTGGTGTCATGAGGAAGGTTTCTTTCCAGCGGCCTCCAGAGCGTTCATTCCCGTCACTTCCAGGGGGCTGTTCAGGGGAGTTCAGGGCTGGTGAATCAGGTCCATCCGCCTCTCCCGGACTAGGTTCTGCCCCTCCATCCCTTTGCCCCGCCTCGCAATTAGCGCCCGTCCTCCAAATGCAGCTCAACTGCAAAATCCCATTGTGAGACTGAAGTGAGGCTGCGCTCTGATTGCTGACCTACGTGCTTGTTTCTCCTCTGCGGCTAAGACTCGAACCTCTCGGGCTCCCTCTTGCATCTTCGTCTCCCTCAATTCTTCACGTCAACTGTTGCAGGCCCCGGAGCATCAGTTCACTTCTCACACAGCATATCAACATGTCCTACTACCCAGGTCAAGGATATCATGGAGGAGGAGGAGGCGGCGGCGGCGGCGGTTACGGATACGCTCCTCCTCCTGGACCTCCTCCTCCCCAGCAAGAATACGGCGGTTATTCTGGAGGCCATTCTGGAGGTCAGAGATATCCTCCTCCGTCATACCCTCCTCCTCCCGGCCTTGACGCATACGGCTATCGTCTCCCACAAGGCCAGCACCACTATGCTGAGCACGCTCGAGCCGGTCCACCTCCTCCATCTACGCCCCAACAGTTCGGTCACGGAGCTCCCGAAGGCTATACTTTCCAATATTCCAACTGTACCGGTCGTCGCAAGGCTCTTTTGATTGGCATCAACTACTTCAATCAGGAGGGAGAGCTTCGAGGCTGTATCAACGATGTTCACAACGTGTCGGCCTTCCTTGTTGAGCGATATGGCTACAAGAGAGAGGATATGGTCATTCTGACCGATGATCAATCCAACCCAGCCATGATTCCCACCCGCGAAAACATGATTCGCGCCATGGGCTGGCTTGTGTCAAACGCTCAGCCCAACGATGCCCTATTCCTCCACTACTCTGGTGAGTCTACTGCGGTCATTTCAACCGGACCATCTAACATTCTCTTCAAGGTCATGGTGGTCAGGTTGAAGACTTGGATGGCGATGAAGATGACGGATACGACGAGTGCATCTACCCCGTTGACCACACCGAAGCTGGTCCCATCATCGATGATGAGATCCATTTCCGTGTCGTGAAGCCCTTGGTGCAGGGTGTCCGTCTCACGGCCATTTTTGACTCGTGCCATTCAGCCACGGTCATGGATCTCCCATACGTCTACTCAACAAAGGGTGTTCTCAAAGAACCCAACCTAGCCAAGGAAGCTGCATCAGGCCTCTTCGACGCCTTTAGAGCATACTCTAGTGGAGATCTTGCGGGCGCCGCTGGTTCTGTTTTCGGCTTGGCGAAGACCGCCTTCCGAGGTGACGATGCGTACGAGAAGACCAAGGACACGCGAACATCGCCTGCCGATGTTATCATGTGGTCAGGAAGCAAAGATGACCAGACATCGTGAGTTGATTGACTCAGTTCACGAGGCATTACTAACGTCTTTGCAGGGCCGACGCCACGATTAATGCTCAGGCGACAGGCGCCATGTCGTGGGCGTTCATTTCAGCAATCAAGGCAAATCCTAAGCAGAGCTATGTCGAATTGCTCAACAGTGTTCGCGACATTCTGGAGACGAAGTATACCCAGAAGCCACAGCTGTCGAGTAGCCATCCGATCGGTAAGCCTGTATTTTCTCTGATGTCCCTCTTGAATAAATTGCTGACGTGAACATTTAGACACCGACCTTCTGTTTATTATGTGAGGAATTGGAGTTCGGGACACGACGACTTAATACAGTTAGCAAGTGTATTTGGCAGGACAGTGGAAGATGCAATGACTGGCGAAAGCAGCATCTGATGATAACTTTCATGAATGAACGTATGAATGGATGAACTTGAAGGACTTCGCAGTGAATGACGAACAGATGACACAACATGCCTACCCATAAAATAAACGGAGTTGTCTGTATCTCATCCTCGTATCCCCAATTGGACTGGAAAGGACAAAAAAAAGAACATCAATCGTATCATTTGTATAGGAACAGCCCGATGCGGGGGTCGAACCCGCAACCTTGAGATGGTGTACTCATTTAAGAGTCTCACGCTCTACCGATTGAGCTAACCGGGCCTCAAACGAGGCTTGCTTGTTGATGGAGGGCAGCTCAGAGTTAGGTATATGATAGGACCACTCAACCTAAGTTATAGATTTGATGATCATCCATGAGACAGGCCAGGCCAGATCGTCCCGTCTGGTCTCAAGACTTCAAACTCAAATGTATGGCTGGCGCGATTGCCTGCAATTAGGGCCCGTCGGGGGCTTCGTGGAGTTACCAATACCGGTAGACATGCTGAACCATTTGCGCAAGTGTGTGCTTGAAGTTGGTGTTCTTAACTCAATGGACATGGATGTAAATATATCGGTACTTCATAAAAAGCAAACAAGTCTGATAATTTGGGGATATCTAGCTAATGTCAAATAAGACTGAAACCCTATCTGTGCTGCTTTCACTTTGCTGGCCGTTTTTTGCAATCCATCGCCCTGTTTTTTCCTTCATTCTGTCCAAAACAGAAGAAATACCTAACATAGAAAACGAGAGATGAAATTTTCGCACACTGTGACCCGGGCGCAGTACCTCTTCTCATCTACTGAGTCACTGGGGCCTACTGCTCGCGGATGATGCCTCCAGTTGGAAGGTTGGAGAGAACTCGCCCCGAAAGATGATTGCGATAGTGGCCGGGCTGCGCCAACCAGGCATTCAGCGGCATTGTATATGCCTCCTGCAGAACGCTGCGATGCTGGTCGTTTAAGCCCATCATAGTGAGAGTCCATATGGCCAGGTTTGCAGTCAACATATCTTGGCTGCATGCACTTCTCGGAACAGGTTGCCATTTTGCGGCCAATTTTCCCTGTTTAGTGTTGTAAAAGCACACAACTACGACCTCCCTTTCGCTCAATATGAAACCATATCTCGTCTCTGCTTCTACTGCATGTCTTGCAAGTTGCTCAATGGGCTCATTACATCGGGATGTCTGTTGTTCGAGTTTTTCCGAGCTCCACGCTTTCGAGAGGCGAAAAGTGCCAGTGACAAGATAAATGCGGTGATCTTGACCAGTGAAAAATGACCAGTTCGGCTGACTGCCCTTCTTCGGGATGAGCGGAGCGTCCTATCCACTGCGAACCGTGTCCGGACAGCTCAGACTCCCTTGAAGAATACCGGCGCCTTCACAGACCAGGGGAACACATATCGAATCCAGCCAGTGATATACGGCTTTCTTCAGCTCTGTCACATTGCGGACTTGTTCCTCAGCTTGTGCATTCTCAAGGTTCACTTTCTGCAAGCTTGAGGCGTGTCGGGAGAGAATATGGCCATAGGCACTTATGATATTCTGTAGGTTGAAATCAACCCATCGTGTGATGCTTTCAATAGAAACACCCTTGGTGGCGTGGTAGTTTGATGCCCCGTGTGCGACTTTGAAAATAGGATTCTCTCTAGAGAGCAGCGCGTGGAGAGATGGCTCATCCATGTTCTGATTTGCGCGACGTAATCCCTCTTTTTGAATTGCCTGTTGATCTGGGCCTCCCTCAGAAGGGGTAGGAGGTTACTGTAAAAGGGCTCAGGGGGGTTCTGTGTGTGACGGGTGTTGGTATCTGGAAGAGATGTTGAAAGAGACTTCAACGATGAAGCAGAAGGGACAAGAGTCTCTTAAATACTTTTCGAATCTCTTGTTGTCTTATTCACTCATCATCCACACACGTCACTTGTTGAGATGTGGAAAACTAGCATGTCAAATAACGCTCTGTGCCGATTTGCTAGGCATCTTGGTAGAATGAGGAGGCTGAAGATCAAACTACGGCACACAACTCAAATTACCTTACCCGGAGTGGTAGCCTACTCATTAGCTCCGCCGTTTATGATACGTCGCCTTTGTCAGTCGGGTTTGCCAGGTCGCAAACAGTTTTACTTTGCTATTCTGATATCAGTCGCTTGGGTGCTTCTCACCCATAGATATCTAGGAAAGTCCATGAATTTGGTGCCTATGCAGTGGAAATACACCCTGTCTTCCTCTTCTCCTTTGGACTAGAGAGACAGAAGGATTGCCTTGGGTTTTCACCTGACTGACAACAGCAAGGGAAGGCCTATATCCGCTTGCTCAACGTGTCACAGATTTTGTTTCACCTTGTAGCAAATGTTTTCTTCCCTACCTAGTAGCTACAATTTCGGAGGGTGCCAAGGGAGTACAAGCAAGCAAACGGCATTCAGGTGGGCAAGGGAGCAGAAACGGGGCTCGGTGGCACCCCAGAAGCACAGTTGTTTACAATATCACCATTACAAGCTGAAAGAATTAATCACTGCTGTGGCGTCTTTTCTTGACCATCGGCAACAAGGGGGAAGTCTTTTGGTGTGCTTGGCATCCAACGGATGGCGCTGGTGACTTGTTCTCACTGTGACTAGGTAGGTAGGTAGGCCGCTTCACACCCCCCTTCAATAATGAATTTGATATCAGGATGGCTCTTTGTTGGCAATTTTTTATTTTCACAAACCGTCTATTTCTGTTCACTGACTTTGTTTGGGCCGCGCTAGTACATGTAGCCTTTGTGCGTTTGCTTTTACTTTCAGTTTCTTCTCCTTTGAGCCTTTTGTTCTTTGATCACGTTCTTTTTGTCGACTCACCCGCTTCTTTACGTATTTGATTTTTAACACCCAATGTTTCCATATATTTTGAACTCGTCTCCCTTTATGATACTTCACATTCTAAACCTCTCTCGGGTGAATTGAGATCTCATCGTACAGCTCCACTAATATTATCCCCCTTCCCCAAGGACCACCAGGAACACCAAGTGGCTGACCATGCCTCCTCAGGCTCCTCAGGCTCCTCTCAAACCTCTACCTGACTGCGAAGGCCCAAAGCTGGAGCCCTTCCATCATAACCTTGAGGCGGATGACGTGGAATTTCTCAAGATCCTAGAATGCGACAACAATAAGCACAGTAAGATTATCAAGACAAGAATCGGAGACAAGATCTACGGCATCAAGTTCGTAAGTCAAGGCTATTATTGCAGTGGGGTCTACTACTGAAGCACCATGCAGAACTTAGCACGAGATGCTAACAGTACTGTAGTTTATTTGGGAGGACCCCTTCGCCGAACCTCCATACCTATCAGCGTATGGTGAGGATGGACTAAGCACACATTTATGCTGTGACGGATTTCACCTCCATTTCACACCTTTCGAAAACGAGTGCCGAGCTTTTGGCAGACTGAAAGAAGTCGGTCGCGAGGATCTCGCGGTTAAAGTCCATGGCTATGTCACCATGGACCTCAACGACACCATTGACCAGAAGCTACAGGCTGCAAGGTCTAAGATGATTCTTCCCTATCAACATCTAGATTGGTTCCTTGGAATGGGCGATGGCCCTGCCATGGGCATCGTCAAAGACTGGGTAGATGAGGTGGAATACGATGACGAGCGTTACCATGCGCTGTATCAAAGGGCGGTCCAAGCCCGCCATTTCCCTCGCATGCTCGAGGGGCTGCACGATCTCCACAAACACGGGATAGTTGTCAGGGACCTAAATGGTGGCCAGTATGTCAACGGCACACTGGTAGATTTGAGCCTTGCATCCACTGTCCCTCATCCGTTTGGCCCAGACCCAGATCCATTGGGCTTGGGAAAAGTCTGGCAGCCATGCTGGACGTTCCAGAGCTTGGCCGCTTGGGATTTGTATTGCTTCCAGGCTGAGGTCATTAAACCTTGGCATGAAGACTTGGCCACGTTCCTGAAGTACAAGCCAAGAACCAAGGGCCTGGTAAGGACTTGCTGGACCACAGCCTACCGTATCCCCGAAGACCAGAGGGAACTCAGGCCTCGCGTTAGGCAGTATCTGGATGCGGAGCAGCCTCCTTACTTGCCCATACTGAACCCATGGGATGAGAAGCTTGAGATGACAATGGCTCCCCGGCATGACCCGCTTGATTTTGCCAAGCATAATCCGGTCGTCAACAATGTTAAGAAGCAGGTGACAGGTACAGCAAAAGGCCGAGGTGTCAAGAAAAGCGTGGCAAAGAGGAAGCAGGCGAAGGGGAAGCGAGTGAAAGGCAAGATAGTCAACAAGACAGAGGCTCCAAGATCCAGATATAATCTTCGTAGCCATACAGTTAAGAAGTGAGGGTTGGACTGTACCAATTAGTACCTGGGCTTCTTCTCGAATCGGCTCATTTTAGAAAATATTTGTATATCGGTATTGGCTCGACAGTCGACAGGTTCATCTCGGTACCTACACAACTTCAATAAGGAAATCCGCTTTGATATCTCCAAGGGGCACAAATTGATTTTCATTCCTGGCCTTGAGCCAACTGCTGAGAAAAGAGACAGCACTTCTGGACCCCAACTTGCATGCAGCTCGACTGGCTTTAAGCCCTGCATCCAATGTTATGTTATGTTAGCTATCGCTCACTCTTGTGGGTGCAGATAAGCGAAGTGCTACTAACTGCATATGGTGTGATGAAGCGCTCCGACACGTATTTACAAGCGCCTGCTACGTGATGCTGCAGCATCCAATCTGTACTGTTCTTCTCGTGTTTTTTTCTCTCTATTGGGGGCCGAGACTCGCAACTTGGCCTGGGCTGTCATGATACATGACGATTGGGCTTGATGTCTGGGAAAAACAAGATTCTGAGCTCAGTTGCAGGCCGAAATATGGCGGTCAATCGCGACAGTGAAACGTTGCGGTGCGTTTGTTTGGACAAGCGAGCTTATGATTGATGCATTTTAGACGCACGAGGGTTGGCTCAGGCCATGGATGTTGCAAATGAGTCGGCTTATCTTGGCATAGCTTATGAACAGCAGATGTAGCCTGTACAGTAGGTACATAACCTACATACATACTACCTACTAGGTATAGTAGTTAAGCTGGGGCTTTACTGTAGCTTAGCTTCGTCGTATAAGCTACCCGAAGCTGATTGACTTGACGTCACTGGCACTATTGTATATTGAGCTGTAGCTAGGTACTAAAGTAATAATAAGGGTGGAGGTAAGCCCAAATACTTAAATGCCTTACCTTCATCCTCATTCTACATCGACATATTGTTTCTAAATTATAAGCAAGTAGTATTATTATTCGTTATAGATATCAAGGCCGTCATTATTGTTCCTGTTGCTGGTACGATTTTCAAATCCTGTTCTCATGAACCTCAAAGGTTGTCACCTTGACGATCCGCGAATTGTCACTCCCAAGCTGCCCCGTCAACTCCTCCTCGCTCTCATTGTCCCTCGACCTCCACGCCGAGACCCCCTTCTCAGCAGACGATCTGCTCTGGAAATGGTGCTCCCCAGCGTAAGCTGCCTGGCCGTCTCGCCCGTTGCCGTCCAGGTCGTCCTCCCTTGCGAATGTGGCGAGGCTAAAAAGATCGCGATGCTTATTGCCGCTGCCGTTGGTACCCTTTGTAGGCCTGAACCCCCCCGAGCCCATTGGCTGATCAGTGTCCCGCAATTCAGACCGCCCCGATGTCGTTATGCCAAGCTTGCGGCCGAGTAATCGAAGCAAAGGCCGCAGCGTTGCCAAAGACCCGGCCGTGACAGCCAGACCTTGTTCCGTTGTCGACCAGATGGCGATGTCGATTGTTGCCCCTGTTTGGGTTTGTCAGTTGTGATTCATCATCATGCTTGGAGTTGGAGTTGGAGTTGCGACTTACATAAGAAGTCTGGGTTCTTGAAATCTTTCACGAAAGGGAATCGAACGACAACAGCTGCGCTTGCCCTGTAAGATGTGAGCTCATGTCTCTTGTAATAGGGAGGGTATACCAACACGCAGGCCATAGCCATGATAGGAATCAGAGCCAGCTTCGTCTTCCGTCCCATGTTGAGCTTGAACACCAAGAACATTGGTAGAATAGCACAAGTGAAGTCTGATATAACACTGAACACACTGTATAGATAAGTAAGGGCCATGATGACCTCAGGCTTGACGCATTTTCCAGATTGATCTTGGTTCCAGAAGTACGAGATCGGCGAGCATTGGAAGAGAGTGACGAAGAAGAAGACGACTCCGGTGCAGACAGTTATGGCCATGACGCCATAGAGGATCCATACGTCGAGTTTTCGTGTCGTGATTCGGAGGAGTAGGTAGCCAATTGAGATCTTTGAAGATATCATCGTAAGGCAGTACCTGTATGGACGGTGAGCTTGGTGAACAAGGCACAATTGGAGGTATCTAACCATAAATAGCACCACCACCACCATTTCATTGCTTGCTGAAAGTCATGAGGGTCGAGGTCGTCTCTGTGTCGGCCTGTGCCGTGCTTCACACCAAGTAGGGCCGACATGACGAATAGGAGAAATGTGATCTATGCAGCCATGTGGTCAGTATATGTTGGCATTAGAGTGTACAGATTTATTGTGTCAAATATGGAGTATTGATAGTCTGATCAATTGATGTGTCGTCGTGATTTGATGTTTGGGGTGTCGTCGGTGAGCGACTTACAAGAGCACTACACATGAACCAGTCATCCAATCCAAAGTTTTTGACCAGGCGCACGCGCACATAGATACGTAGTGCGACTGCTATCACCGAAGAAACGGCAAGAGTATAGCATACAGCCTGAAGCTCAGGGCCTCTGTTGGGGACAGACATGACTGTCGATGAAGCCAGGCTCTATCCTGCTTCACCTCAAATCATATGGGAATAAAGGGGAAAAGAAGACGGAATCACAATGGGAAAAGCAAGAAAGAATGATTGACGATAAACGAAAGGATCCAGGATCCGGCAGATGCGGGCCGCAAGGAGTTCGTCGCAGATATATGGGAATTTTGTATGTACATACAAATCTGCTAACGACGAACCGAGGGGCCGGGACCTACAGAACCCAAGTTGTCGGGACCAGGCCAATTCTGTCCTACGGCCCTTGTACGGCGTGTCACCAAATCCACCGTCGCTCAACTCAACTCTCATCTCGTAGCGCAGTCCATACGATCAGCACACTTGGGCAGCCATGCTATTCGCGGGATCAGCGGGCATGCCTCGGTTTGGAGCCTCTCCGGGGGGTTCAACAGAACGGGGAGCGCCTCCGGGAGGGGGCAAGAGACCTCGCCTCCAAACCCCTGGCATTAGCTTCTGTCGCGCGTGTTTGAGAAGAGTCAAGAGAGAGACATGCAGATGAACAGATTTGTCTCTGTGGAACCATGGCCCGGGTCCGTTTGGTGCTTTCGTAGGTGGCTAAGACCTAGAACAACCCACAGACAGACAGACGGAACTACCGCTAAGAGACCCAGGACGGACCCAAGACTAAAATTAAGCTGATGTGAGAGCCGAGGAACGGATGTCGAGTCCCAATTTGGGCAAACAATTCACTAGCAGCCCCGAGAAAATCTCCACCACCTTTTTTACTCACTGTACCTAGCTTCAGCAGTCTTTGACAGGCTTGGCTCTGTGTCGCTATAAACTCTTGCAACGCCACCTGCAACCGAGTCCGTGTCAGAGTTTCTTCCTCGTACCTGACCTGACCTGACCTGACCTGAATCAGTCAAGAATTCCAGTGTCGACGCCCAACTCTAAGCTAGAATCAGTAGCCTCTCTAGCCTCTCTCTGCCGTGCGGAGATCATTGGGCGCCCGCAACTAGGCAAGCATCTAGTGCGAATAGTCGACCCGGCAGTTGAAGCTTGTATCAATCCGACGATGCTCTTTCTGTCGTGCTTGCTTGCTTGCTTTTGCGAATGAGCCGTCCGTGTGTTTGACTCGAGCGCACTAAATATTTACAGATCAATCGCTAGATCGCAGGAATCCGCGTACCAAGCAAAGACCCCCTGGCCCTGGCCCTGGGACTGATTTTCTTACTCTCTCCCCTTACTACGACCGAAGCGAGCACTGATCATCATTGGGAGCCTCAGATTTGCCAAACCCTTTTCCTCTTCTGTCATGATGGCATTGCATTGTTTGTGGAGAGTCGAAGATCATTGCTGTTCCACGGATAAACATATCTCAAAGGAAATATGATTCAGAGGCGCTGACATTTCATCCTGGTCTTTCTAAGCATTGAGTAATAACTCAAGGTCAAAGCGAAATGTGCAAATTTCCCTCCCTCGAGAAAGACACGGACTATTGTCCGGCAACACGTATTCTCGGGAGCTACGCTGCAGAATCATGCCATGGCTGAAGCCTCTTTTGACCTCATGAGCGTGCTGTGCCTCGATTCAATTCCGCACTGAACAGAACAGGACAGGACAGAAGAAGAGGGTCGATAAACGTGAAACAAAGTCTCGATCGACTGGGAATGCCCGTCCATCGACGTCGCTTATTGACTTTGCAAGGGAGAGGCCACGTGCATTTGCGTGATCGGTAGCTGCAGGGAAACGCCACTCCAGTTTTAGTTTTTGTTGGGTCGGCCCAAAGTTGCATTTTCATGATAGTGACAGAATGCTATTCTCTTGGTGCTTCTCTTCTCTGCTCTCAGTGGCCAGTTTAGTTCCTTGGATCAAGCCTCAATTGATCTCCTGGTTAACTCGCCTAGAACTTCTTTTTCTTCTTTTCCTTTTAAGGTTATCGATCATGATATGACTTGGTACGACAAAATCCAAAGGCGGAATTGCGGAATGACATCCTGCACTGAGTCTGTGAGTGTCGTGTCCTGAACCCTTGTGGATTATGCACTCAGGATATAGGCAGGGTTTAGAGAAATTGACCGGATGTGCCGGTCGCAGTGCACAAGGTGAGATTGGAAACCCGTCGCATGCCATGCATCGGAGTTTTTTGACAATCCGGAAGGTATATGTGATACGCGATGCTACTGTGTAGAGATAACCAAACCAGAGAGGGAATGTACCAGTAGACCTCATCTTCACCGATAATCTCGCAGCCCAGTACCGGAGCAAAATCTCAGACACTGACTGACAGGGGTTGGGCTCCAATGTCTCGCATCAATCAGAGATCGGTCAGAAACTCAGTGCAGCTACGGAGTACAGTATTGATCATTTATTGCAGATCTTTGGTTGTATGATCGGATTTAATTTGAGACGTGCACATGATCTTCCAGGACCAGGTAGACTGTGGCCGGAATCTTAAGGCTTGACGCGATGAATTATTCCTCCTCTCACATGCATGAACTCCAATGCAGGGCAATTCTTCAGCAATCAGCAATGAACTGACAGGCAACGAACCACACTAGCCATGCACG